TTATTGATAGTTGCTTATTAAAAATTTTTAGTTTTTAAAAAAATTATCACCGCCATTACTTTCGCCGGAGACTGTATTACCATGTGATTGTCACTAAATTTTAAATTTTTAATATATGATGAACAACTTTAACATCAAAATCATATATCTTTTCTGAAATGAATTAATTGATCAAAACCTTATCATATTTTCATTTAGATTTTTATTACCAATGATTCCCCAATTATTACTCAACCAGAAGAAAGAAATTGCAAATTTGAAGGAATCTTAACTGGAATACTACACAAAGTATAGCGTGTAGTATGTCTAGCAACATCTTAATTATTGCCGTATCCATAAGTTTTTCTTGTAAATTTATAACAGCCAGATTATAAAAATCTCACTACCAACTTCAAGTCTATTAATGGGAACTAACTTTGCATAGGAAATCACACCCAATTAATTGATACTAAAAAGATTGTAACTCATTTTAATTGATGTGATATCTAAAGGAGCTGACGATAGATAACTTACGATTTTTTCTTTGTCTCTACAACTTTATGTTTTTTTTTGTTGAATAACAGTAATAAGTCCATTAAAAAAAAAAGAACAAAGAATTTGTGGCAAAGCAAGCGAATAGTTTGTAAGAGACACGAATTCTGAAAATTTTCTTTTATTGCTCCACATAGTAATTCTTCAATTGCATCCCAAAATTACTGTTTTTTTTGTATTGCTTAAGTCTATTTAGATAACTTCGTTATCTCAAGCATTGGAAGTAATGACAAAATGACATTTTGTTTTTCATTTCATCATGAGATTTGGCTTCCAAATATTTCTAGAGCTTTAGTTAAATCATCATCATGCATATGAACTTACTAGTGCCTTTCTCCATCAAAACAATCGGAACAAATACACAATGAACGAAATCCATCTTTCGATTTAGTAAAAAAAAATCGAGACATAGTTTTGCGAGATTGAAATCTCAAGCAAGGAATCCTAATGTTTGCACAGTACATGAATGCTCAGAGCATCCATTACATTTAAAGAAGCCTTTGAATGTTTACAACATGTATAATGCAGTTTACTTTTGTCATGATTTTTTTTAGAAAGTGTCGATAACGCACATCAAGATTATCACCACGATTAACTTCTCAAATACATTTAAGCTAAACAAGAGATCTATTGAAATTCTCTCTATGACTGACTATTACATCTTTGAATCCACAATTACATGAGTATTTCAACAACATCCATATTCTCTTCTAAACCAAGATCTGGATCCCTTATCGATCAATTCATATAATAGATACTTTGCTTGAAAATGATTTCAATTAGGCTCCATACGTACATAAATTGATGGCATAACTTTTTTCCTTCGCGTTATAAATCAAAATAAATTAGATTTTCAAGATTGCTTTTGAAAATAAAAGGTTACAATCGCTGATGAACGTTTTTGGATGATGATCTACTTATACCATAAAGTCTGGAAAGATAGTGCCCCGTGTCATTGACTTTTTATGGTTTGTCACGCACAATTTCATAGAAAATTGATATTTGACATCTGGTGCTATTTTTCCAGACTTTACGGTAATTATGATTTTTTTGTAGATTAAAATTTTAATGTAATAAAATGGATTTTTAATTATCAAATAGAGGTTCTTTGGCGATTTTCTTTCACAACCTCCTAAAATCTCCTCATTTTAACTGGACTTGTCATCTTCTGTTTTTTTTTCTAGAATAAATACTAGTGACTATTGCCAAATAATGGCGGTGATGATGGTATCAATTTTTCACAAATGGATGAATGATATGCAAAAATCTTGCAGCCGATATATATATAAAAGAATTGGTAGAGGAGGAGTGACAAATGAAGAATTCTATAATAAGTTACAAGACTTCATGAAATTCGCTGGTGGAATTAATTTAAATGATATGGAGTGTTTGATAGTGTTGGCGGTAGAAGTAGTAATAACCGTGACAAAATCGGAAAGCCACCAAGTAAATTCAAAGGTGGTTCATTTCAAGTTAAAATACCAAATAGCTCAGATTAAGCTGATGTAAATATCTTTCCATCTATCTATATGTTTATATTACCAATAATTAATATAAATATTGTAATTTAAATTTTTTTAAATGAATATATTTAAAGGTCAGAAGAATCATCGGGTTTGATTGTGGAAGAAATGTTAAAGCGTTTAGAGAATAAGTAACTTACAGAAGACAATATAGTTGAGATGTGTAGTGAGAATGGATGAAATCATGGAATCAGTGATGTGAACTTTGACATTTAAAGAAATCAAATGAAATTTCGTGGTCTTTTATACCAAATCAAAAAGCTTATGTAGAAATAGCTTAAAAATCTAGTTTATATATTTAGTGGATGCGTAATAAAAAAATTTATTTATTATTTTTTGTAACGTTTTGTCAAAAAAGTTTTCTTATGGTCCGTCTGCACCTAAATGATCTGGATGCACTTTAATGATTCCACAACAGACCGCATACAAAAAAAAAACAAATAAACGTCTTAAGTTCTTGTGAATATATGTGCAAAATTTGACCTCTTTACTGTGCCAATTTGGTTAACTTTTAAAAGAAGTGCATTACAAGCTTTCTTTTCAATAGCTGTAGTAATTCTTTCAGGATTAGTGACTGTTAAATCATCACCGACGATTTGAATATCAACAGATCCAGTTAAATTACTCCATGCCTCCCAATCATCTTGATCAAATGGATCCTCAATGGAAACTATTGGATACTCTTTGATAAACTCTTTGTATAAATCGGCAAGCTTATTACCCTTGAGCCATTTAGATTTATCAGAATTTTGATTCTTAAAATCAAGGTCGTAATGACCATTATCTTTATAGAATTCAGAAGCTGCAACGTCCATTCCTATTTTAATTTTATCAGTATACCCTGCCTTTCCAATAGCCTCTTTTAATAATTCAAGACCTTCTCTATTATCTTGAATATTAGGTGCAAATCCACCTTCATCACCAACATTAGTAGCATCTTGACCATATTTGGCTTTGATGACTGATTTCAAAGAGTGATACACTTCTGAACCGATTTTCATGGCTTCTGAAAATGATTTTGCTCCAGTTGGCAATATCATAAATTCTTGCATAGCAAGTTTATTACCAGCGTGAGATCCGCCATTGATTACATTAAAAGCCGGAACGGGAAGAACAAATGGTTTTTTACTTTCAGCAAGATCTGCAATATGTTGATAAAGTGGCACTCCCTTATAATAATAATAATAAATAATAAAAATTAAATTATAATCTTTTTTTTTCATATTCATTCTTATAAACCTATATATATATATATATATATATTATATATAATTTCATCACTAATTACCTTTTCAGCAGCACCAGCTTTTGCAACAGCTAATGAAACACCAAGAATTGCATTAGCACCAAGTTTTGATTTATTCTTAGTACCATCCAAGTTCAACATAAATTCATCAATAGCCTTTTGATCTTTAACATCTAAATTGGCTTTTATAAGCTCAGGTGCAATTATCTGATTCACATTTGCAACAGCCTTTGATACACCTAGGGCAAATAAATATATAAATATATATATTTAATAATGTAGATTAAACATTATTATGATTATTATTATTAATATTATTGCTTGATAATTTATTTACCTTTACCAACGTAATCAGATTTAACTCCATCACGTAGTTCTAAAGCTTCATGAATACCAGTGGAAGCACCTGAAGGAACAGCTGCACGAAAAACACCTGTTATAATTTTTAAAAATATGCCAATTAGTTAAAATTATTATTGCTACTTGTATTATAAAACAAATTAATCTAATTATTTAATTATCTATTATTTATATATTTACCTTTTTCGGTTGTAAGGTCAACCTCAACTGTAGGGTTACCACGGGAATCAAAAATTTGACGTGCATGAATTTTATGAATAGCCATGTTTATTAAATAAGTTGATTAATCAAAAAATAATACAAACAACAATGGTGGTACTTGATTGAGGATAAATTAAATAAAGCTTTTTTTTTTAAAAAAAAAATTAAAGAAAAATATTTGCTGCTGATATTATTGCGTCAATTTATATTCTTTTCGGAAAGAATCGCCATCATTATTATTTGTAGATGGAGGTAACATCCGATTTTGATAAAGTTTTTGCTATACTTTTAATAAGTGGTGTGACTATTTTTGGTATAGCAAAAAAAATTTAGGTAAAGTAGTTCTTATATTATTAATATATTAATATGAATTTATAGGGTAAAAGATCCAAAAAGACCCTAATACTAAATAATGTTTTATTTATATTAGATTCGGATTTATTAAGAATTAGCGAAGAACATCATCGTTACATGTCTTATATAGGCGAAATTTGGTTACACGATATAAAACTTGAAGGAACCCTTTACTCTTTTTTTTTCTATATACCAAGCAAATCTTTATGTAGATTATTATGTAACACAAATTCGGCCAGATGACCTCAGAAGTGGGTTTCAATTTTAGAACTTGCGCAAATTAAAAGGTATCCGGCCTACAATTCCTCATTTTTTTATTAAACAAACAGGGTCTAATGTTTTCAACAAGCTTTATGTTTATAGATTAATATTAACATAAACTTGATCAGATGACCTCGGAGACTGTTTTTGCCGGAAAAGGTCCCAAATGTCAAATGTTTGAGGTCTTCTTCCTTTACCATATGGCTAAAATACTTTATTTGAGAGAATGTTTAATATACTGTTTGCTATGTTAATTCTGTTATCCAATTCTTCTTATATTTCTTTTTTAGAGACAAGGAACAATTTTACATAATTCCTTTCCATCCACATACTTAGTATATTATTTGTGATGTTGGAGTACTCATTATACCTAACTTGTATCTCATCTATCATGAAATGCACATTCGAAGTAGGGTCGAATTCTTTGTTGTTGACTCGTTTATACCAAGATGTACTCATACCCGGGTAGTATTGTCAAAATCGCCAGTCCAATCACTTTATTGGACTTTGGACTACTTGGAGCCCAATTGGCGTATAGTGCAAGACACCTAGTCCCGCAAATTTTTATTGGTCTTGTAGTTTTGAAGCTAAGACACCTTTACTTATGTACAAAGTTATGATTTCATTTTGTTGATATGTCGCGTTACTATGGAGAGATCAAGCCTCAAAGTTGCATAATATGTAGCACAATACCACGAGACCAAATTTAATTAACGAAAGAATACAGCTCAACTAATCAGTGCAATAATTGGCAAAGATACTATCTCTCTTTGGAAACCTTCGAAAGAAAAGGAAAATTTTTGTTAAACAAAATTTGATTGTGTTGTATAATCATTGATTGATACTCTCCCAAATTTTTTAAAATGTTCAAAGGTTGTATTTAAATTCGTACATGATGATGAATTCACTTAATAAAATTCCAAACTTTCGAAAAAATTATTCAAGTTGTCGAAATCGAAGGTCTATAGAGAAATTCAAAAATCGAAAATCGAAATCAAAACTCGAAGTCAGATAACAAATTAAATGACTTTATTATATATCTTCCAATCCTACTAAAAATTCTTAATTCATCATTTCAATTCTTCTTTCTAAAGCGATTTCATTAATGACGGTATTTTTAAATTTACAATATCTTCAATTTTTAATATATCCATATTATCCACCTAAATTCATCATAGATAAAATGCAATATTAAAGTGGTTGTCTCTTTCTGTAATATCTTTTTCATAGTAATTAAATCCTTTGTTTGCATGATTAACATAGTAAGAATGAATTTTAGCTAAATTTTCAATTATCTTTGTAGATAAACTGTTCCTTCCTTGCCCATAAAACAGGAAAAAATCGTTCAGCACCAACTGTATGAAAATAATTTGATTGCCAATTTTTGTAAGTGATTATAATCGTCTTCACATGTAGACCACCAATTAATTGGATTATCCAGTTTAGTATGAACATTTGAAGAATTAGAAGTTGCCAAAGAATTTGCTTTATCCAAAAAATTATAATTTTGATATTTACGCAAAACAATTTCAAGATAGAATTGGTTAATTTCAATAGGTGAATTTAGATATCCATTTGCATCAACTGTGAACTTCCTTTTGTTCCATTATTATTACAACATACACTACCTGGACAAAAGTATAGGGACACCTGCAGATCATCACAAATAATTGAATAAAGTGACATGACAAAAACTA